GATTACAGGAACAGCTCTAAAATGGTTTGAGTCTTATTTAACTGATAGATTTCAGCTTGTTAATGTTAATAATGAATCTTCTTCTTACACCACTAGACATTGACAACTTCTCTTCATTCCCAGAAATACTATATGGAAGCTGCGTGTCGACTTCCTGCAGGAGAGAGTTCTCAGCCAATGGGAAAACTTTACCATATGGAATGCTGGGAAACAGGGCCGGAAGCTGTACCGAAGCCTGAACCCCATCAATCAGAAGAAAGTATGTTGATATCAGATGTGAAACACCAGTCGAGTCGTGGTTTATTTGTAGTTTTGGGACTTGATGTAAAGTTCTGCTTAAATTGTGTGTTATTACTGTTGTGTTACATCAGGTCAAAGCTTTCTGTGATGTGGATGRGAACAAGATCCAGAAACGTTTCTACACGTATGAGGAATCCCAGGTGAGTGGCTGTGGATATCAGGTACARCAGGTTTGGTTGTGATTATAATTATAGATTGTCTGCTTCTCTTTTTGTTGCCACGTCTCCAGGAGAGACCAAAGCCTAAAGTCCCGATCTTGCACTACAATGATGCCACGAGCCCCTTCATTATCTGTGTCAAACTGGTAAACTGATGGCATGTTTGTGTGACTTTTGTTTGTTGTTTCCAACCGCTCGTCCCTCGGGTCTGTTATCCAGCTTAACAACATAATGATTCAGGGCGTGTGCCCTGTGCAGGATGTAAAACACAGAAACAAAYRGGAGTCTGTCAGGAAATGGGCAGAAACAGCAGCATGATCTTTGATCACTGTGTGCCAGTGCAAACATTCAATGTCCTAAATGAATGTTCAGTATGTGTGCGTCACAGTTTCAGTGCGGTGTTTGTTCACTTCTTTATTTTCAGAAGATAGGGATGTTTTGCTTATACTGAATATAGAAATATACGTGGAAACACAAGTACACAGCTGCTGGGACAGTTAAATCAGTAATAGCTTATTTATCACTCTGCCAGATTCAGATCTAGAGTGACCCCACCTAAGGGTTCTGTTACAGTAATTGCTCAATTATGAGAATTGGTAGAGGCTATCAGACAGAGGACAAAGAAAACTGGACTCCATCATGGCCTGATTTTCTGCAGCATCCACACACACTTGGGTTCACCCAAAAGTAAAATGATTTTCATAGTGAGCATGCTTCTCTCCACTGCATGTGTTCAGACATCTTTACTCCAGTTACAACATTTTGGTTTAATAAGAAACAGTAAAAAGAGTAGCATTTGAAGGGGCGATATTATGTGCTTTCCAAGCCTATATTTCAATTTTATACTAAAATAAAGTAACTATGTCACATTTTCAGCTTATGAAAGAGCTATATACTGTATTTGTAAAAATCCCCAAAACAATTTACTTCTCATCTTGACAATTTCTAAACGTCTTGAAAAAGGTCTCTGTCTCTTTAAGAAAATCCAACCACTTCAGTCACGCCCATTTCAGCACGTAGCCTGCCGGAGTCGCGGGGGGAAGTGGGGGGTGGGGGTGCATGAGGAAGTTCAGCGTAAAGACGCATCCCAGAGGGGGAGCTTGTCCCAAAAGGACACAACCCAGGGGCCTTTCTGGTCCCAAAAGGTGTTTCTGGTCCCCACCTGTYGTTTTGCTCCTCAGCATGGCTTCATAAAATCGCTGCAGGATTTCTCAAACATGCATGAATGAGTCAAAGCAAGGCTTTGGGCATGTTTTTATGAGAGTGTTACATTATAACATGATATAGGACTCAAAAAAGTTGATTTTACATGATATTGCCCCTTTAAACAGTTGCTTATACATGTAATGTTTGGTTGAAGTTTTTGTGTTGGACCATTGTTTTTTCATTCGTCTCGGATCAAGTTTTAGTTTGACTGTGTGGTTTTCTGTGTTTATTGTGCTGTTTTTTTTCCATCCGTAGGACATGACAGGAGGTGTTCTGGAGGAAAACCTCAACTCTTTGCAGTTGAAGGAAGGAACAGATTACTACCATTTCAACTGAGCRCAGAATGATGCAGAGACCCACAGGAGCCCTGCAGGTTAAACAGGGCAGTGAATGCAAAACAAAAGTTATTTATTTAACACGTAAACAAAAGCTAAGCAACAGAGTGGTTTTAGTGAACACTGCTGTAGAGTTATTGTGTATTTTAGGTGCTGAGGGGTCTGTTTTATATGTAAATATATAATGATTTTTTTTATTATTGTAATAGTTTGACCTGGTAAAGTTGGCAGCTCTGATATCTCTGCTTCACTCTTTAATCACAGGCTGGACTTGGTCTTTTTGGCTCCATTTGTAGAAGTTTTACAATAAATTGGGTGTTTTGGAGGAAATGTGTCTTCACTTTTGTTTTCCTCCTGGGTTTTTCCCTTTTTTAACTGATATTAGTCTGATGTGGTAGATGTTAAAGTAGAACTAACCCCCCCCGTGAAAGGGAGGGAATGTGTCAGCTAGCTTAATTTGACAAGGTAGCATTTCTGAAAACCTTTCTAAAGACGTTAATGTGTTTTGTAAACAGTAAAAGGAAAGTTTCATGATATATATGGAAACTCATGTTTAGTTGTTACAAACTAACATGTAAAGTTCAGGTAACAAACTTCGGTCCAAAACAACACAAGAAGAATATTTTCTCATTTCTGTTTGTTTCTGTGGTTCRTTTGAAATTCACAAGACAGCTCAGTCCGGGACTGACGCATGTTCTGTCCTTGGAATATTCAGAAGACACAGAGGCTCTTTGCCAGAGCCTCGTCTCTTTTCTGCTCTGTCCCACACACACACACACACACACACCACACCGCTACGGAGGCAGAGGCAGTCAGAGCGAGGCAGGCCGACATGAAAAACCCCTGCAGAGCCGAGAGACTCAGTAATGATAAACAGATAGTGAGCAACCGCCCCACTCGCAGGAATAAGCATCAACATACATGTCAAATTTTATGGTTTGTCTGTAAATTATACAGATTTCCCCCCATTTTGCAGATATACTGACATATAAAGAAATCACGTATTTTTTCAAAAACTCAGCTTCAAATTTATTTTACGTTTCAAAGCCAGAAATAAAAATCAAATCAAATAACTCCCTCCCAACCTTCTCTGCCACTAAAAAAAAGTTCCCCACATCTCTAAAAGCCCACTTTAGTTGATTTGTGGTTTAGTTCCTCTTTAAGTTGAAGATACTGCAGCCAGAAACTGTTGTGTAGCTCAGCCTGTGGATGAGCAGCAGCAGCAGCAGAAACCTRGCAGCTTTTTTTTATGTTTGACACTTTGAAAATATTTTTTATGAAAAAAAAGTTAAATTACTCTGTTTAAAAATTCATGAAAACAGAAAATAGAGTTTGGTAGCTGAACAAATGATCTTAAAATCAGTGTGAGACAGGTCAGTTCAAAGTTCCCCACATGGGAGATGTCCTTCGTTTGATGTCATTAGATTTAGTAGCAAGCACTACAGGTCCTTCTAAAAAAATTGGCATATTGTGATAAAGTTCATTATTTTCTGTAAAGTACTGATAAACATTAAACTTTCGTATAT